CCCCTCAGAGCAGGGGCGGAAAGCTGAGCGTAGCCGGACTCCAACAGGGGACCAGGCCAGAACGGCCCTGGATGGGGGTGATGACAAGGCCTGTGATGTCGAGGCACCCACCAGTCCGGTGGATCCCAAGGCCGTTTCCTCCTCGGAGTCAGAAGGGCCCACAGAGGCAGCAGCGCCAGCTGGGCCGGTGGAGGAGGGGGGCACGACCCACCCGGAGGCTAAGAAAGAGGAGCCCAAGGCAGAAGTGCAGCCACAGAAGGAGGTAGAGCATAGCCAGGTGCCGGTCAAAGGCAGAGAGCTTAAGGAGGAGCCCACCGCGAGCCGGGGGCCGGACAAGGGGGAGTCTCCTGATGTTCTCCCGGTGTGGCCGGTCACCGCAGGTGACCAACCGCTCCAGCTTTACGCGCCGGGCCTCCAGCGGACAAAAAACAAAGAGCACTGGTTATCCCAGGTGGGGGAGGTTTTCCACCTGAAGGGGTACTTGGGCGACTTCCGCCTCCTTGGGGTAGGGGGCAGCCGAGCAGTGATGGAGGCCCCGGGTGATCCCAGCCTCTGCTGGAAGATCACGGCCTCTGACTTGCCGCCCACGCGCCGTTCTGGCCATGGGCCGGAGCTGGCGCTAGGGCAGGCCGTGCCCGGAATATTCGGGTCGCGCACCCGGATGGTGGGCCCGGCTGTTCTCCAGATAGGATCATGGGGCTCTTTGGGCACCCTTATCTTGGAGATGGAGAAGGTGGCCCCGATGTACAGAGAACCAAGTTCATGCCGCATATTGCATATGGCGGCAGTGCTGCTTGGGATCAGTTGTGCAGGTATAACCTGCCGGGATGTCAATCGGCACAACTGGGGCATCCGAAAGACCAGCGAGGACAGCTACTTAGAGGAGTTTGTTTTGGTGGATGGTGGAGAGTTTGAGCTTCAGCCTGAGCCACCGATCTTCCCTCCAAAAAGGAAGATTGAAAGCTGGTGGACCTGGGTAAACCGTACTGATCCCCAAACAGCTGGGTGGCTGAAGCAGCAAATAGACAGCCACTATGCTGACCACCGCCAGCTCGCAAAGAACTTGGTGAACAAGCTCAATGAGAGCGAGGCTGGACATTGGGTTGTTGTAGCCCTTTTCCAGCAAAAAGTCCTCCACCTGAATCCTCGTGGAGAGACGTGCTTGGCCATGTCCCGCTCCAATGCAATCATCAGCGGGGACTGGACGCTCCTCAGCCTAAGCGACCAGACTCTGGGGGCAGGGACCCACCAGTAGCTGGGGGCTGAAGCGGACTCCTCACCCAAGCCCACCTCCCTAGGGGGCTAAGGGAGGTACACCTCGGGCCAAGGCCGGCTTCCTGAACCTCACCGCTTTCGGGAGGCAAGGGCCAACCCTGAGCTGCAACCTCGCCTGCAAAAGCCTGGGAGGTAGTTAGGCATAGCTAGCTCCGAAACCCACCGGAAAACTCGCCGGCAGCGACTGGGAGAAACCGGGGGCTAGGTAGCAGCCTAGTGAGGATTCCGTAAAACACGGAGGACTCTTTTGCCGCCAGAGTGCGAGCCGAACCCAACTGCCTTTCGGGGCCGCGACTCAGCGCAAGGAGTGAGAAGACCAGTGCTCAGCCCAGTAGTCTAGGTGCGACACAGAGTTTTCCTCGGTACCGGTTAGTTTTCTTGTAGTTTCAGGTGGTTAGTGCTTGTGTACGTAG